TATCTTTAAAGCTTAATAAATTTCTCCGCGGTTTGTTGGAGTATAAAGCGTCATTTATAATAATTTTTGTCCCGTTAGGAGCATCACATATGCTTTCCCAGATCCTTCAATGAACTTCGCAACACCTGATATTGTATTGACTTTAGCTTCAACTAAAGTCATTTGAGAAAAATATATTTTATTTCTCAAAATGGTGTGCGCCGTGGTGCTGTCTATCAGACATGGCTCTTTATCATTTGAGTGATCCATATCTTCAATATATATAAATAAACATAAGTTTGATATGAAAATAACGCAAATTATGCATTATATATAACATCAAAGTGCATATATTACATACTTATTTATGAGAATAACATAAATGAAAAGAAAGAAAAAGTACATGATAACATAAACTATTATTTTATAACATGGAAGTCTTATAATTTATTTTGTGTTATTTTAATCAATGGCAAAAGCATCATCCATAATGGCATCATCCGCGAAAAAGTCGGACACGTCAAATTTTGGCATAGGTGGAGTTGTGTCATTGACATAATTAACTTCCATATTTTTGGCTTTATTGAGATTCATGGAAGCTTGAAATAATTCCACCAAATGCTTTGCAGTACGACATTTGTTAGCCCAGTGCCCCGTCATGCCACACTTGTAACAAGCCGTCTTCACCGAGGGTTTTGTAGGGCGATTTATTTGATGGGCTTTTTGTTTGCCCTTGCCCTTGCCCTTGTAATTTGGTTTGTCGACCCATTTATATCCTCGGTGTGGCTTGTTATTATGACCACTATAATGCCCACGTTTAAAATGCTTTTGAGTTCCACTGTGTGTTACGTTTGATTCAGTGGCAACATTATGACCAGATGGACCATAAATCGAAGGACTAGAACCAGTGGGTCTCAAATTGTGGTTTTTCATCAAAAGGTCATTATTTTGCTCAGCGACTAGTAAAACTGATATTAAATCGGAGTATTTTTTAAAACCTTTTTCTCTATATTGTTGTTGGAGCAGCATGTTAGAGATATGCATAGTAGAAAAGGTTTTCTCCAACATATCTGCATCAGTGACTTTTTGTCCGCATAACTTTAATTTAGATGTTATTTGGAACATAGCAGAATTATATTCACTGATAGATTTAAAATCCTGAAATCTTAAATAGATCCAGTCGTACTGAGCTTTAGGCAAAAGTACCTTTTGTTGGTGGCCATACCTCTCCTGTAAATTGTCCCATAATTCTTTTGGGTCATCAACCAAAAGATATTCAGATTTGAGACTTTCATGGAGATGGTGACGGAGAAAAATTATAGCTTTCGCTTTATCCTGGGAAGATGATTGATTAATAGCCTCAATAGTGTCTTCAAGACCATTAGCCTTCATATGTGCCAGAGCATCAACTTTCCATTCCAGGTATTTTTGCCCGGACAGATCAAGGACATCAAATTCTCTTTTGCTTATGTTGGCCATTATATAACTACAAAATTATTAAACTAATTTTAATGAATATAAGTGCCAATAATTTGTAAGAGTTATTTAGTAGTTATTAAAAGAATATCAAATTTAATGCCTATGTAATCATTCTTATTTATATATGTTATAATGATTAATGATTACGCAAATGGGCTTTAGAAGTGATCCTGAAATACTAAAAGTAATATTTACATTAAAACTTACTACTTTGTAAATCTAAATAATGAATGTTATGCCGTTAGACTATATATTGTTGTTATAGAAACATACAAAATAACTGCATTTTTATCAGATTAAAAGGCTCGTGATCCTCAAAAGCTCAACTAGCATTTATTGCATAACCCTATTAGTTTATATTTGATATTTCTAGCTATGAGCTAAGTCGCCATTTGCATGTTATTATGATATCCCAAGTTCCCAAGTGTTCTAGACTTTTAGTTAGTTTAATTCATTGCCTCTTTCTTTTTCGTTTAGTCATCATATTATTTTAATAAGAAAATCAATAACAACAAATGATGTAGTCAGTTCTGACCATGCATATAATGGTGCTTCTAAATATGATTATTTTATTATGCAGGAGGTGATGGTTTCTTTAAGAGTTTTGAGCAGATTCGTGCTGATAACGTGTTGTGAAATGAAGAAGATGAAGAGCAAATTTAAAAGATAGATATATAGATAAAAAAACTCTAAATTACTTCTTCTTAATATCTGAATATTTTCTGAACTTCTGAGTTTTTTTTTGTATATTTACAATGAATGAAACAAGCCCTATTTATACTAACCAAGCTTAGGGATGAATCATCTAGGAATGATTCTACATAATTTGCTGGTAGTATTAAATCTAGCCATGTGTGTGATTACAATGATTTGTGTTTGCTTAGTGTCCTGATTACAAGGATGGGCATTCACACTTGTCATTTTGATGGTTTTACAACACTATTATTATTTTGTCCTAACCACTAATATTTTCTTTCGGTTAGAGACAAATGCTTAGTTTGTAGGCATATGCAACGAATGACTGTTTAGAGTCCTTTACTCCGTTCAAGTTGTGTAGTTGGTATTCACGCTAGGCAACAAAATAAAGAAAACTGTAAAAAAAATACAGGATTAACATGAATTCCGCACAAATTTCTCGATAATTTCATGTCAAATAGCTTGTGTCAAACTGTTTTTGGTACGGATTTGTTGTATCACAATCAAAATCCCTGTCAATTTTGAAGAATCCCCGAAGATCCCGTGTTTGTGGTGGAATGATCGTAACGAGATTCAATTCACCGGCCTTTTTCTAAGAATCCACCAACTGAAAAAAGACTAAAACAAATTTATCCCACTAAATCCATTTACCATATTTTTCTCTCCACTAAGGACGAAGGTAATAGGCATACGCAGTATGATTTATGCAAACTCTTGAAAGTCCACAATTTATTACTCCCTACGAGTTCGAGTAGTTAGTATTCACGGTAGGCAATAAAGGAATGATTCTAAAGAGATTCATGTTTTCCTATTAGCATCTTTCTTCCACTAATATCCAATGCTGCAATTGAATGAATTAAGAAAGTCCTTTGACAAATGATAAATGTCTTCATTAGAGTTAGAGTAAATTCTCTAAATAGGAGTAAAAAAGTTTTGAAATTCTAAAATAGAAGTATCATGTTTTTTATTCTTTAAGTAGGAGTAAATTTCTGCCAAGTTTGGCATTACTAGGCTTTAAAACATGACATTTTTTTCCAAACTTGGCAGAGTACTCCTATTCAAGGAATAAAAAACATGATACTCACCTCCTATTTTGGAATTTCAAAACGTTTTTACTCTTATTTAAGGTAATTTCTATTAGAGTTAATATATTTTTGTTAATTGAGTTAATTATCAAAATAGGACTAAAAGCACTCACTTTGCACAAATAGGACTAAAAAATAAACTATGTTTTCATAGGACTAATTATGTGTGTCTTGGACAAATATACCCTTATAGCTATTGAAATGTTTAAATTCATAAAATAATAATAATAATAAATAATAAAAATTCGTAAAAAATACTAAAAAAATTAATAAAAATATTTCGATAATAATAATTTATTTATTTTTCAAAAAAAATAATTTTTTTAAAAAAATTAAAAACTCAAAAAATAAAATCACCGCAGCCTCTGCCGCGTCAGCACCACCACCTCCAGTCACCAGGGAAGACAAATGCCAATTTCATTACTAATGTCATATTTATGGCAGAAAACAATGAAAATGTTGTCATTCGCAAAGAGAAATATGCCATTTTTGGCATTTTCAGAAAAAATGACAGTTTTTTAAAAAAATAGCATTTTTCACCGACCTGAGGTGGTGGTGCAGGGGCGGTGGGAAAGGCATCCATATGTTTAAAAAAATTACGAAGTTTTACTATTTGTTATTAATTGTTTTTAAAAAAATTAATATTTTTTTTTCAATTTTTTACTTTATAAATATTTTATAAATTTTTAATTATTTTTCTACGAACTTTTGAATTTTTTTTCGAATTTATTATGAATTAAACATTTAATTATGGCTTTTGACTATTTTTAACTCATACTACGTATTTAAAAGAAGGGTAATAATGGAATGAAAAATAGGTATGTTTCCAATAGGATTAATATGGTCCTATTTTGATAAAAAAAACATAGCAAGTCCTATTATGACTTTTTGCCATAGTTTTAGTCCTATTTGAACTAATTTCTATTGTTAATTTTGTTTATTCAAGGTGGGTTGACTAGTTATATAGTTGATAAGTGGGCGTGAAAAATTATGGGTATGTTTGGTACAATTAGATGAAAAGATACTTTTGTGAGCTTTTTAATAACTGTTAGCTTTTAGGGACTAAAAAGATATTAAAAAGAAAATGTGGTAGCTGACTAGCTGTTTGGTAAAAAATTGAATGTTTGATTTAGTTCGGTTTGGTATACAAGCTGTTAGGACTAATTAGTGCTAAAAGTCATGGGCTTTTTTCAGATGCTACTCTCTGTAGCATCTCAAAAAAGATCTTTTAAATTTTGAAAATATCTTAAAAATTGTCATGCCAAACATATAACTAGAAACTTTTAGAGACTTTTTAAACAGTACAAAAGCTAGAAGGTAGAGACTTATGTTTGTCAAACATAGTCATATTGTATTAATTTAATGTTAGTCATGTACTCATGTAAGCTGAATAGCTTCCTTAATTATAGTCAGCTCACTTAGAGTATCTCCAATGCAGCGATATGCACGGTACCTATGTGGCATGAGAGATAGCCACATAATTATTAGCAAATAAATTATCACTTCTTATTTGAATGATTTTGTACAATTTTGGTATGTTTTTCTCTGCAATGTCCACCACAATATCAACATCTACACAGTCTTCTTGACATTGTGGAGAAAAATTTACCAAAATTGCATAAAATCATTCAAATAAGAAGAGAGATAATTTGTTTGCTAATATTTATGGTGATTATCTCTGATTTCACATGTACATCGTTGATGTCTTACGTGCACTATGTATATACAGGTGATTGATGATTGATGATGATGTTTGGGCCGGGGAGAATGAATCATCTGCTGCTATAAATACTTGCACCCATTTTATTATGTAAGTAAGTTAAGAGCAAATTAATCATATTTATATATATTTATATACTTCCCATAATTTTAATAACGCTTCCATCTCCGATCCCAAGCAGTTAATTAACTAGATGGCTCCGGTCAATAATAAGCTCACGTTGACCGCCGCATCATGTGGCGGCGTTCTCATTTTGGCATTTCTTTTCTGTTTTGCTGTTCAGAGCAGTGAGGGAATTAGGGCGCCGTCGCTGTCCTCTAACTATGCCGTCTTCGCGGAAAGTCACCCGAGTCCCGGCGCTGGTCACGGAGTTCCTCCCGGAGATGCCACTCCCGTCGCTGACTCCGCTGATGAGCTGCCGGCGTCGCTGTCCTCTAACTATGCCGTCTTCGCGGAAAGTCACCCGAGTCCCGGCGTTGGTCACGGAGTTCCTCCCGGAGATGCCACTCCCGTCGCTGACTCCGCTGATGAGCTGCCGGCGTCGCTGTCCTCTAACTATGCCGTCTTCGCGGAAAGTCACCCGAGTCCCGGCGTTGGTCACGGAGTTCCTCCCGGAGATGCCACTCCCGTCGCTGACTCCGCTGATGAGCTGCCGGCGTCGCTGTCCTCTAACTATGCCGTCTTCGGGGAAAGTCACCCGAGTCCCGGCTCTGGTCACGGAGTTCCTCCCACCGATACTTCACCTCCGGCCAATCATTAAACGTACCTAAATGCATGCATGCCCTCAACCTTGATACCTTCAATTTACTCCGGCAGCCACCACTCATATATACATGTATAATCTAATTATTATATTTGATATGTTACAATTTATGTATTTAAACTAGCTATGATACGAAAACTTGATATGAAAGAATAAGAAATAATGAACGATTTCTACGTATGCCTTAGCTAGAGTACTCTTAATTAGTTCAATTTTATCTTACCTTATCGTTTAATTTAATTTATTGGCTGCTCCGATTTCACATTGATCGTTAATATATTTAAGTTAATACTGGTATTAATAAATACTTCATATTACATAAAACATAATATATAATTTAAAACAATTCGTATAATTTTTTTAGATGAAACTCTAATAAAGTCTTCTAGATCAATTGAAGCTCTAACAAAATTCTAATAAGTTCTTCTACCAAAAAAAATTTAATAGCTACTGATAAAAATCATTAATAGATACTAATTTACGAAGTACTAGAATTCATCTAGAAGAATTTACTACGTATTATCTAAATAGATTAAAAAATAGATTAAGCTCTTATAAATACTTTGAGCATACGAAGAACATAATTTTGAGATGAAGCTCTAATAAATTTATTAGTTCAACTCAGTTTCTAGTTTCTACTAGCCTTTAAAAGAAATTTTATATTTTTTTACTAGTATAATATATTTTTTGGTAAATTAATAGATACGGTAGAAGAATTAGAGCCCGTTTGGTGACTCTGTTTTTCGGCTTATCGGGCTTATCAACCAAATTTTTAATCAAACACGTAATTTTTGATTTCGCACGCTGAGTTGTGTAATAATAATAAAAAATAAGGTTAAAGATACTTTTCTGGCTGTATAATTGTAAAATTAGGGTTGCCAATACTCTGGGCAAGTTTTATATCCTTCTCTCAATATCTCTTTCGGTTCTTCTTTAGAAACGTGAGCAAATATATCCTTTTCTTAGTTGATACTCCGTATTTTATTGGTTTCTTTTCAATTCTAATGTTACTCTTTAGAACTTTATCTCACAGATCAATCTTTGACGACTACGTTTTCTTTTAAATGTTTTCGATTGTTTTACAGGTATTTGATATCTTTAAGTAAACATAATTTTCTTAGTTAGTGTATTTGTTTCATTTTCAATCCAAAGATTCAAATTGTGCGTCTCTTCAGGATTTTCTACCGAATATCTCTTTTAGATTTGAATTTGCGTCTCTTCTGGAAAACAGCAATTGAGTAGAGATAAGGGAATGTATTTCATTTTATATAATGTGACTTACGTAATTGACACATGAAGTTTACATTTTGTATATATAAAGTCATTTGCACCAAATATTTAGTTCTTATTTGTATCAATAAATAATACTCCGTATTACATTTATAATGTTAATCATATGTTTTTAAATATTCATAATATCATTTATTGTATAATGTATCACACTTACACCAAATATAAACTATATATATTAGAATCTCTTACACATTGTTCATATGTGTTTACATTGTTTATAATGGCGTTTACGTAAAATTAGAGCTTAAGTTACATAAAAGTATAATCCGAATTACATATAGCGCGCTTTTGTATAGGATGTTATAAGAAACATGCGTACACTTGCACCGCTCATGCTGCATGGGTAGTACGTACCCTACGCACGAATATTATCAAATATGTTATGGGATAAATTTAGTGGGATGAACGAAAAAGGAAAAATGGAACAATGATAGTGGAATGAAGAGAGTAACTCTTTTTAGAATATGCCTTCAAATTTTAAGAATATGAGGTGGCGCTCTTACGTCAAAGCGCTGGACATTATAGTTTATTTCATATTTTATTTTTTTCTTTTACCTTGCAACGTTTCTATAATTAGCGTCGCCGATTAGTATTCGGATGTTTTAAATTTTCTATTTATTAAATTTTATTCACGGCATGTGTACATGAAGGTATTTTTTCATGCGGTGCCTTTAATTAAACGCCGAAATTCAAATCCTTATTTTCCAAATTTAAATTTGTTTCTTATATACTATTTGTGGTGTTTGTTACATATTTAACCGCATTTTATCCGTGACCAGTGTTTTTCACATGGTGCATGTGGCGCTAGCTATATACAGTACTCATCATAAATCGCCTTAAAAGCCAACATAAGCAACAACTAATACTCCCTCCGTCCCGCTAACAATGGGACAAAAGGGAGTGACACGCAAATTAATAAAAAATGATTTATGTGGTTGATATTGAATTGATAAAGTAAGAATAAAGTAAGAATGATTTAGAGCCACACAAACTTTATCCAATTTGGAATGAGACAATCTTATTGGGACGGATCGATAAGGTAAAATGAGACAATCATAGCGGGACGGAGGTAGTAATATTTATCTCCATCCCAAGTGAATTTCTCATTTGCTTCTTTTGGACATCCCATCTTAAGATTCTCATTTCTATTCTAAAAAATGATTAGCACTTTTATAAAAAAAAATATCATGCTAATATTAAAATTATACACTTATATGTCGTGTAAGACCTGGAAGAAGATGGGCTTGAGGTATTCCGAGCAAGTGATGAAATACAGGGAGGAAGGTCATAGTCGTACTAAATTATTGAGAACATGAGAGATTCATCCAAGTAAAAGCCCATTTTCCTCTCATGTTTTGTTGGTTAAAAAAAGATGGGAGTTAGAGGATGTGTGTAGATTACAGGCATTTGAACAGTCTCACTATAAAACATGATTAACATATACCGGTCATTGATGATCTCCTAGATGAATTGAAGGGAGCCAAAATTTTCTCAAAGATTGATCTACGATCAGGGTATTTTTCAGATTTTAATGGCTCCAGAACATAGGTAACCGACACCATTTAGGATCCATAATGGTCATTATGAGTTTTTGGTTATGCCTTTTGGGTTATGTAATGCCCTAGCTACCTTTCAATCGCTAATGAATCAGACATTCAGAGATTTATTAAGAAAAACAGTGCTGATATTTTTATGACATGTTGGTCTATAGCATTAGCTGGAGCCAACATGTCTTAGATCTTAAGGAGGTTTTGACTAGACTAAGATCTAACCAACTATATGCCAAAAAAGTAAGTGTAAATTTGGCCAAGAATCAATTTCATACTTGAGGCATATAATTGATCATAGTGGACTTGCCACAGATCCAGAAAAAATCATGTGCATGGTAAGTTGGCCGACACCTACAAATCTCAAGTTGACAGGATACTATAGGAAATTTGTGAAATGTAAGTTGGCCAACACCTACAAATCTCATGTTCATTCATATACTCATGCATCAATGCATGTGGCTACATCAAATAAAAAAAAATGTTTAGAAAATAATATATTTCAGCAACCACATGCACTGAAATTTTTGATAAAAATAAGACAGGGAATCGTTTCGAGGTTTTATATTACGTGACCTGTGAGTTTACTCTAATCATATGAATTTACTTTAACCGTATAAAAATTGAGACTGATGTCAGTGGAGAAGGCATTGGGGGGGGGTGTTAATGCAAAGGGTAGACCCATTGCATTCTTAAGCAAGAAGCTAGATCCTAAGCATCTGGGGCTCTCCATCTACGAAAAGGAGTTCTTCATTGTACTTGTGGCCATTCAGAAGTGGAGGAGTTACCTGCAAGCTAACAAGTTCATAATAAAAACTAATCAGCGAGCTCAGAAGCATCTGCTAGATCAGAAAATCACCACCCCACTTCAACAAAGATGGATCACTTAATTACTAGGAATGGACTATGAAATACATTATAAGAAAGGTGCTGAAAATAAAGTTGTTGATGCTCTCTGTCTAGAAGGAATAATAATGAAGAAGAATCTTGGTCTTTAACGGTAGTTAAACCTATTTGGATGCAGCATCTTATAGAATGTTATGTCCATGATGAATTTATATCAAGACTCAAGAAGGAAGAGCTAAATGACCCTACACTACACCCGAACTTTGAGGTTATTGATGGCATTGTGAGATATCTCAGAAGGGTGACCATTGGTACTTCAACAGAACTCAAACGCGCCATTTTTCAGGAACTATATGATTCAGTTGTTGGAGGCCATTCAGGAATACAAGGTACTTATATGAGAATAAGGAGAGCCTTTTGTTGGCCCAAGATGAAAGGAGACATCACTCAGTGGGTCAAGGAAAATGTGAGGCGTGTGCTAAAACCAAACCTGAGGGTGGACCGTACCCTGAAATGTTGCAACCCCTACCCATACCCGAGCAAGCTTGGAGCCATATTAGCATGGACATCATTAAAGGCCTACCAAGACCCCACAAAAAGGATGTCATTCTGGTGGTTATAGATATGTTAACTAAGTTTGGGCACTTCATACCACTGTCACACCCTTACCACTACAGCGGCTCAACTATTCCTAGAGAATGTATTTAAATTGCATGGGTTTAGATATATTGACAGACAGGGAGTCAGGGATGTGGTATTTGTGAGTAAATTTTGGAGGGAACTGTTTAAACTCATGGGCACACATCTAAGTTACAATTCCTCTTACCACCCCCAGACAGATGGGCAAACAGAGAGGCTAAATCAGTTCTTGGAAGCATATCTAAGGGCAATGGCACACCAAAATCCAAAACAATGGTTTAGGTGGATATCAATGGCAGAGTATTGGTACAACAAAACTTCCACACCAGCCTAAAAACTACTCCATTTGAGGCCCTATATGGCTACGCCCCACCCATTTTATCCCTACCTACACCCTCAAACCTAACCAATACAGAGGCCAAGGAAGTTATCAACTAGAGACAGTTAATGAAGCAAGAATTGAGGGAAAATCTAAAACTCGCTCTGGAAAGGATGAAACTTTGCGCAGATTCAAGACTGGTGGTCCGCGAGTTCAAAGTGGGGGGAAAGGTGTATCTAAAACTGCAACCCTATCAGCAGCAATCAGTACAATTCAGAAGAAATCAGAAACTAACAGCTCGTTATTATGGACCCTACACAATTTTGGAGCGCATTGGAAAGTTGGCTTACCGCTTGGATTTACCTGGAGATGCCAAGATCCACCTAGTCTTTCATGTCTCTCTTTTGAAAAGATGCATCCACACCCGAGCAGTTATGTCCTCCACTCTTCCCTCAGTTGACAAAGATGTTCTTTTAGCTCATCATCAGCACCAACTTCACACGTCTCTGCTAATGGGCGAAGTAGGGCTCTGATATCTATATTCTTGCAAGGAGAGATGACTCGCGAAGGAGCGCCGTCATCCGTTCCATTGGATGACCAACAAGGTTGTAACCTTGGGGACAAGGTTCTAAAGAAAGACAGGGGTAATGTCGTGTACGACCCGAGAGAAGAGGGATTTGAGGTATTCCGAGCAAGTGATGAAATACAAGGAAGGTCATAGTCTATTGACCGGTAGGCCGCGGCAGTATAGTCCAGCTATTTGGGAGAACGAACAAGGCAATCAGTTATTTGGCCATATTATATGTCTATATCTATTGGGTATTTTAATTCAGTTGGGCGGACCTATTACAAATGTATTAACAACTATCTCCTTGGTGTTTTATTTCAAACATACTATATAAACTGTACATATGAAGCAGTGAAAAACAAGCACCATGATAAATACATTTCTTTCTATATTTCTCTTCTTCTCCTTATTCTCTCAAATCATTTTCCGTCACTACAATTTTGGGGATCACTACGTTATATCATGACAATTATCATGAATTAATCCATTAATGATGTCACAATGTCAAGTTGCCTGTTTTTTTAATCTTTATCTAAAATATTGTGCCGTTTTTGAATGAAAACCTTGAGCCAAGACCAAGATAGTAATACTTAGCAAGTATATTCTAAGAATCATCTTGGGAAGTACTACGTATTAATGATCATAACTATTGTTTTGCACATCTTTTATCTTTACAGTCGTATAAACGCTAATAAAAGTCAGCGCAATTAAGGTATATTAAAAGTGTTGGTAATTGGTATAAGGCGACTTGTCATCAATACAAGTACTGTTAAAGTGTATGGCAGATTTCTAGGAGGTAACCGGGCTCTCAAAAGTGTTGGTATGATAGTAAAGTAGCGTGTAATTATACACTATTTTTTTGTACTCTTCTGTGCATTGTCTTCTTCCTGCTTGCTGATGCGGCTCTAGTGGCCTTTCAAACACTGGATTTGTTCCATTTCCGTTGAAGGAATTAAAGTGCAAGACTAGGGGTGGACCGGTTCTAGTTCGGGCCCGGGCCCGGCCAGGCCTCGGTTCATGAAAGGGGAGGCCCGGAACCGGCCCAGGTAACCCCCGGGTCCGGTCCGGGCCAAGCCGGGCCTCAATTCTTATATTTTTTTTTGGCTTTTCCTAATTAACCCCCAACCCTCCCCCCTCACCCCCAAACCACCCCAAACCACCTCAAACGCCCTATCATACCTAGGAGTGGACTCGGGCCGGGCCAACCGGCCCAGAACCGGATCAACCCGCTACTGTGCAGGCCCGAACCGGCCCGGTGAACTGATTGGTTGCTCGATTCGGGCCACCCGGCCCGGTGGGATGGCGGTTCGGGCTCGGGCCCTTCAAAAGGTGAACCGGCCCGGCCAGTTCGGGCCCGGGCCGGGCCAATTTATAATTTTTTTTTGAAATTTTTTTAAGTTTTTGGGTTGGGCTGGGTATTTTGGGCCATTTGAGGTAGTTAGGGTTGGTTTGGGGGTGAGGGGGAGGGTTGGGGGTTAACTAGGAAAAGCCAAAAAAAAATTAGACCCGAGGCCCGGCCCGGCCCGGACCCGGGGGTTACCCGGGCCGGTTCCGGGCCTCCCCTTCATGAACCGAGGCCCGGCTGAGCCCAGGCCCGAACCGGTCCATCCCTAATCATACCCAGCCCAACCCAAAAACTTAAAAAAAATCAAAAATTAAAGAAAAAAAAATTGGCCCGGACCGGGCCCGAACCAGCCAGGCCGGTTCACATTTTAGGAGGCCCGGGCCGGGTGGCGCGAACCGGGCACCAACCGGTTCACCGGGCCGGTCCGGGCCCGCACAGTAGCGGGCCAGACCGGTTCCGGGCCGGGCTCCACTCCTATGCAAGACAGGCCAAATGTGCCGCTTATTCAGAAATTAGATCAAAACTCCTAAATGATTGAAAAACAACACTTTGGTCATGCACGCACTTATAGTAAATGATGAAACAAGTAAAAAGAATAATACAATATGCACCTATGTACCGGAGAAAATGCTCAGTTAATCATTCATATGTCAAGGGATAAACTTGTAAATTTCCTGAATCTGTATCAACAGATTTAGAATCCTGCAACTCAAGTTGTCTTCTAACCCATGGTGGATCATCCTGCTTGAGCCACAGCGCTTCACCAGTATGCTTGTGCTTAAAATCTGGACCTTTGTAATTTACCTTTTGCCTCCTATTGTCCCACCACTCATCTGGATTGCTGAAGAACACTTGCCATAAATGAAGCCGACTTCTGCGCATCTCCTGCCGATCTTCAGCTGAATTTTTTAATCAATAGGCATGAAAATGGAAATTATACATGATCTACCCACAGTGTACTCATAGGTTATTCTTTCCAATAATTGCAAATCATCACGGGTCTGCTTGGAACCCGGAATATGCTGGAGAGGGAAGGAATACAGAGGTGAAATCTCCAAGGAAAGAAAAACTGCTTCGAACTCAATAAACCATCTTTAGATATTAGTCAATTCGTTTTATTTATGCTTCCTATTATCTATTATTATATATAAAGACTAAGTTTTTTTAATGCTTCCTATTATCTACGTAGTATTATATGTAAAGGCTAAAAAATCTAGATACAAATAAAATCTGTACAACTAACCAAGTAAGATTTGGTGCTTGTTCGGTAACATGGTTTTTTGGCTTCTAAGTCTTATCACCCAGATTTTTTTCAACACTAAATTTTCACTTTTGCAATGCTGCACTAGCAAATAATGAAAAAATAAGGTTATAGGTAGTAAGGAGTACTTATTTACCTGAGTGGGCTGAAGAGGGCGATTTTAGATTCTTATTGTATATACATAGTACTTTAAATATACTACCCGTCCCAAAAAATTATTCCAACTTCCCTTTATGGAACGATTTTTGTGACAAATATTGATTTACTTTTTTCCTTATAAAATCATAACCATACATTTTCACTTTATTCTCACTTTCTTAATAAGCATGCCAAGTCAAACCGAGAAGAATTTTTCGAGACGGAGGGAGTAATTAATTAATAAATATTTCACAATTCAGCCACAACTCAACAGCTTCACTAGATTCAGCAAACTTCACTATTACTGAACACACCCTTGGTCTTCTTAGTATTTTAAGGTAAAGAAAACATATAAAAAAATTACGTGACGTACATGTTTTCATTTCCCTACGATTTTCCCTGTTCCAAACATAGCATACATGCCAAGAACGGTACTAGCAAAGATGCTCTTCGTTTTTTCATCATACTTGGAGGTAAAGTAAACATAAAAACTACATTTTACGCTACGTGCATCTTTTCATTTCCCTACACCTTTCCTGTTCCGAACAATAGCCTACATGCCAAGAGCAGTAAAAGTGTACAGAAAAGTTGAAGAGAATATGATCAGTGAAGTAACATAGGTAACATTAAACGTAAGCACTTGTTACTCACCACTAAATTCTGTTTTCTTGTTTTCCTGGCAGGTAGAGGCCTTATCAAGTCTAGTAACAAAATTAAATTCCTTGACAATTACCTACAAAGGGTAAATCGGATAAATACAATTAAACAGGTGATGTGATTATATTATATTATATATACTAATCCGTATACGGTATCATTAAGCCAAAGATTTTTGCACTACTTGTTAGTTAACTGGCTTGTTCTTTCCATTTGAACAATTGAACATCACATCAAATTTTAAATTTTACAATATATTGGTTATTGACTCATTGATCCATCTAATCTAGTTTTTAAAACCAGTTCCTGTATCCAAAATCTGCATCACCAAAACAAAAATTATTCAAAAGAATATTACAGAAGGATGGAGATCCCCAGTAAGGTTATGGAGGACAAGTTAAAAATACATTTGAATTGTAGTGCAAGAAAAAAACATAGAAGTTTCTGCATATCAAGACCCTGAGATGGGTAAGTGCAAAACTTAAAAAAGTCCACGGTCAAGCAAATTGGAAGAAAAGTACATCTCGGTTAAAATTAGATACCATATATATGGAGGAAATAATTTTGAGATAAAAATCTTGCATCTGGATTGTTATACTCCTTCCGTCCCATTAAATAAGTCCCACTTCAATTTGAATCGGAGTTTAAGAAAGTGGGAATAAAGTGGAAAGTATGGTTGTGGTTGAGTAAGAAAAATGTAAATGAATGTTAGCCACACAAAGCTTTCCAAAAAGGGAAATGGAAACAATTTTTGGGACAGCCATAAAAGTTATATGATAAAATAGCTAAAATGATAATCTACAATAGCTTCGGCCAATACAACCATAAAAGTAACTTCAACCTTACTTTTTATTATCATTACACAATTCAGCGCGCGAAATCAAACAAGGTCATCAAACGGGCTCTAAAATGTCAATTATAACCTTCAAGGACTTTACCCTTCCGATACTACCACTCCCGCCCCACACTCTACCCCCTACCCCACCCCCTTACCCCCACCCTCTACCCCTTACCTCACCCCAACCCCACGGTTTAGAGGTAGGGGTGGGGGTTTTCAGGAGACTTGTCACACTGGGATGCAAGGAGGACTAAACTTGTCAATATAAAAAAGTTTAACATGTTGCTTAATAAAACATGAGGTGAGTGCTTACTAAGCAAAAGTACAAGACATAAAAGGTGTTTACTAAACAGACATTTATCCAAAAAATTGTTATTCCACTTGTGTTAATAAGCTAATGGTGAAATTAAGTATGAAGTAAAGATGTCCTTAAGGTTGATTTCGTACCTAGAAAATATTAGGAAACGGATATATGAGGAATGTAGAGAAGTAAATGGGGAGGAAATAAAATTTAGAGGTGGATAAAGGAAAAGCTCAAACCAAATAACTTAATTTGGGTTTTTCCTAATTCTTATTAGGCTAAAGGGTCAAATAGGTCCTTGTACCCTTTCAGATTGCTCAATTTGCCCCCTCAACCCAAAAAAGCTCCAATTGGCACCCTGAACTCGATAAAAATATTCAATTTTCACTTTTTGAAGGTTTCAATCCGGTCACCGCCACGTCACCCGATAAGGTGCCAACTGTGCATGTGACGTGGCAACTTAGGGGGTCAAATAAGCCCCTGAACCCGATCGAATCGTTCAATTTACCCCCTCGACCCTAAAAATGTCAAAAAAAATTCAAGGGTTGAGGGGGTAAATTGAACATTTCAGTCGGGTTCAGGGGCTTATGGAGTTCAGGGTGCCAATTGGAGCTTTTTTGAGTTCGGGGGGCAAATTGAACAATCCGGAAAGGTACAGGGGCCTATTTGACCCTTTAGCCTTCTTATTTTATCCATTTATTTCAAATATATTAAGACGAAAAAATCTTAATAAGTGGAATTCTTTTTTAATTGTATTCATATTTCAATTTCCTTATAATTTTCAAGGTAACTTCAGGTAACATTTTCCCCTTTGCCTAGAATTTTGCATGATTCGAAGATACAGCTAGAGTTCATAATGAAAAATTGGGGTGCATTCTCAATTTTGACTGCAACAATTGAGCAAAAGCTTTTCTAACATGTCCACAACTTTACATACTGCTCCAACAAAATGATAAACCTCTTTTTCTTTTCCAGTAACATCAACACTGAACTATAAATGGCAAAAGAGTATACATCATGTGGTGTGTACCTCGTGAAACACCCTTGGATTTCCTGCCGGGCCATCCATAGCAAATGAAAATAAGTGACCCCAAACATAAATCAAATCGTTCTGCTTTAGATGCTTCATTAAGAGTTCAGCCACGTTATCCCACATCTTCAGCTTAATCCTATCCAGCAAACGAAAAGATCATAAAATTCAGCACATGCGGTCATTTCAATTTTCATCATAATTGTTATGAAGTATTTACCAAACGAGCTCTTAAAATAAGAAAAAGAGACATTTTAACTTTGATATTGCATTAACTAGGAATGTTCGTTTTATTACAGAAGAGGGAGATTGTTTTTACTTTTGGTAGGAAAACAACTAGGGTGGTTAGTTTCAAAAGTCATGGCAAAATCGAAATTCTAAAAGAATTAGTCATAATGCCAGAAATCATGAAAGACTGAGTTTGAAACAATTAGGGCTAGACTATGGGAGAGAAAAAATAGAGTGGAAAACCATGGGCTGTGGAAAAGAAGAGTAGAGGAATTAAAAAATTCCCATTTATGTCATGTATTTGGAGAGTGGGAACCAGTACCACTTAACCCGGTTTTGGTAAGATTCTTCAATCTAGTCACCTGAGCAACCGGACTACAACAGGAGAGGAACCAATCTATATCCATCCCTACCCGCATGCCCTCGTTGAAAAAAGTTGTGGGTCCGCCATTGCGTAGATCCTTTTCACTTATCTTATGTTAGAGCTCCTTTTTATGAATCGCATTAAGCCATTTAGGCTTATTAATTTTTCATTTATAGTGTTTATGTGAAGTTTTCATTAATTCTATACTGATAATTGTGATGTTTTGTGTCTTTGCATGTATGGTATTTTTTGAACTAAACCTACAGGATTTTCTTTTTTGTTCTTTTTCTTTCTAGTCATTTGCAGACCCTAACAGCCGCCATTTGATAACTAAAATACATAACTAGTAACTACAAGGTTTGATGTCTTTCTTTTTCAAGTCATTCCAAAAATACTTAAACTTCATTTTAAAGAGTCAACAAGAGTTATAGTAGAATCAGCAATTATTAGTTTTACTTAGTTTTGACTCGAGTAATAGTCTCCAAAGAGTTATAAAATTGAAGTGGCAAAGTTAGAATGTTGTGTAAGTGAAATTAACATTTTTTCCAGATGTAGATTGCCTCAGAATTCAGAAAAACTAAAATGAAAACAATATACTCATATCTAGTGAGGAAGAAAAAAGAATATATAACAAAGATCTGAAAACAAAAAGTGTTACAATTACAGGGATTAAGAATATAATTAAGCCTGTTTTTACAATAGTATGGTCGTACTCGTATGCCTCTTCTTCAAAATGTATGTACACCCATACCCATACGTGAGCAACACAAGAAATTAGATCATTTTTTCATATAGTTATTGATTGATAGTCCAGATATGTAAACTAGGAAACAGCTCAAAGCACTGACAATGATTTCATTTATATCCACACATAGTAAAAATAAACAATTGACTAAACATATAAGGGAAAAAGTTAAGGAAACAGGTGAATTCTTACTTGAAAGAAGGTTTGAACAAAATAGAGGTTGAGACGCTGAGAAAAGTATGGACACCGAACGAGCCGCTGGGGGTGTTGATTCTCTCGAGAGGAAAATCGACTGTTCCGATGCAACTGACAGAGTTATGGATCTTGGGAGTGTGTGGTATGGTGGATGGCTTCTGGAACTTGAGGGTGTGTTTGTATACCGCGCTTTCCTCGCTGTGGGTGTCGTCGGAGAAGAAATTCCGGGCACGCTGTGTTGCGGCGGAAATAGAAAAGAGTAAACGGAGTCTGGAAAATGACTCGTGAGATGCCGCAATCCTCAGCAAGGTGGGTAAGCGCGTCCTAGAGACTGTAATTATCATTGCGGTCGCTTTGTTGGGCCTTTGGTGAATTGGTGGGTTATTTTTACTTCACAAGATCACATCGACACTATTGCCGGCCGGCGGCGGCGGAGGTTTTCTAAAGATCGGACTACTTTCTCCCGTATCAACAGGAATGGAATGGAATGGAATGGAAGAACAACCTCTAGTTCTTTCTTAAACGGATTCATCAATAATAAGCATTTAAGCGGCACTCCTTCCTTCAGCGAATCTCGAAGATTCACGGCAGCACAACGTCTTTTGGATCCTGAAGGGCGATTCCCGCCCGCTCCAATATAGCGTGCGTCCAAGGGAAGCCATTGCCCTATTTGCCTTTCTGATCTCCTCTTGGTCTTCTACCCTTAATTATGTTTACACAATCACTTTTTAGGACCAAAAAATAAACTATATAATTGTCCCATGTACTAATTATGTGTACATGGGACAATTATACCCTTATAGTTATTAAAATGTTTTAATTCCTAATAAAAAATAATAAAAATTCATAAAAATACTAAAAAATTAAGAAAAACATTTCGATATTAAAAATTTAATTACTTTTTTTTTCAAAAAATTAAAAAAAAAAACTCAAAAAAAAAAATCGCCGCCGCCTCTGCCGCCTCAGCACCACCACCTCTAGTCACCAGGGGAAAAAAATGCCAAGTTCATTACGAATGTCATATTTATGGCAGAAAAAAATGAAAATGTTGGCATTCGAAAAGAGAAATATGCCACTTTTTTGGCATTTTCGGAAAAAAATGTCATTTTTCTGGGAAAATGACATTTTTTCATCGGCCGGAGGTGGTGGTGCTGGGAGGTAGTACAGGCGGTGGGAAAGACATCCATATTTTTTTAAAAAAAAAATTACGGAGTTTTACTATTTTTTATTAATTTTTTTAAAAATAAAATTATTTTAAAAAAAAGTTTTTGAATTTTTTATTTTTAAAAAAAATTATAAAATTTTTAATTATATTACTACGAATTTTTGAATTTTTTTCGAATTTATTATGAATTAAACATTTAATTATGACTTTTGACTATTTTTAATTCATATTTAATGGAAGGGTAAGAATGGAATGCAAAAATAGGTATGTTTCCAATAGGACTCATATGGTCCTATTTTGGAATAAAAACATAGCAAGTCCTATTTTAGGTTTTTTGTCATAGTTTTAGTCCTATTTGAACTAATTTCTATACATTTTATCGTGGAAACATCAATTCGTATTCGAATCCCTCATGGGAAATTACCAATTAGGTAAACGGAAATATGTAATAATAAGAAAAATAATAAGAAAATGTGAGATTGGATTACTTTTTATTGCTCAAGTTATTGTTGAAGAACGTTTTAACTATTTTTTATATAATTTTCTTTTTATTTTATTAATAATTATATTTTAAATATAATTTTTTCATGAATCAAAAGAATCAACCAATAAAGCCACTCCAGCAGAATTTCATAAATTTTAGCAGAATTAGCCGATTCAGCCGAGTTCAGAGTTATCAAACGGGCTCATAATTAGCAATTGGACTCTTCTAGTCTCATGTAGAGCCTGGTTTTAAGTTTATGAGACATATCAGTTAATAATTTTTTATTAAGCGCGCTAAAATATCATTGTATAATAATAAGAAAAAATAAAATTGGAGTTACTATTTTAGATGTATTGGTTGAAGTTATTGAAAATGATCATTTTAACTATTTTTTATATAAATTTTTCTTTATCTTAGTAATAAAAAAATTAAATACTATGTATAATGTATTCTAAATCAGCAGAATCAGTCACCTTCAGCCACTTCAACCTAAACTTCATAAGTTTCAGCAAAATGAGTTGATTCAGTCAATTTAAGTGACAAGCTCTTAGTCTTCTAAATTTAGTTTCATGGAAAATCGCACTTTTAGTTCCTGAAATAACCACCATATTAAAATGTTTGACCCGTGTTCTCGAGTTTATAAATATCGCTTCTCAATTGTCCAAATTATTGTAAATGTGGTCCTTTGTTGGGTGAAATGTACACTGTGGGTGAGGAGTACATTTCACCCCTCAAAGTACCACATTTACACCAATTTGGACAATTGAGATGTCACATTTACAATCTCCGAAATACGGGTATGACATTTCAATATGGTGACTATTTGAGGGACGAAAAGTGCGATTTTATCTTAGTTTTAGATGTTTATTCTGAGCTTGTCAATTTCAGTGACAAACTCTTAGTCTTTTAAAATGATGCCATACTGACCTAAATAGATATGTCTACTCTAACTATATTTAATTTTATAATCATCAAAGTTTAATCTCATCGAATCAAATATAGTTTGTTTGAACATGGTCAAATCTGATATGATTAAAGATTGGAATCAATCCATTTTAAAAACATTTTAGGCGGTGTGGTAGAACCTCTTTGGGTGAACGAAACAAAAGATCATTCCAATATGTGCAAATACACGCTTAAAATCTTAAAGATTTAGGAAACGTTTACTTCGCTGCTAAAGTCACAGTTATGTTAGTAAGAAAAGTGAAGTAAACACGCAACTGCTTAAAAAGTTGCTTACTAACCAAAAGAGATGCTTAAAGTGCCGCTTACTAAGCATACCCCCCCCCCCCAATGTACTATGATGGGTGTGTCTCGGAAAAACGAAGAAATCTTAATTAAATAAAATTAATAAATAAATAAAATAGCTAAAAGAAAACAGAAAATAGATGGAACAGAATTTAGTCAGAGCTCGTGCTACGCACGATGTTCTTAAAACGTATTCGTCGCCTCCCACGGTGCTAGGAACGCTGCAACGACCGTTTCCCAGGATACGGTGGCTAACGAACTAACGTTTGAGCACACAAATGAGAGTTCCGGCGAACTGGAACAAAGTATGAACACTTAGGAATTTTTCAGAGTAGCTGGGAGTGTTTTAGAGCTCAAAAATACGTGAGGAATGTATTGTGAGTTGTGTTTTGTTGCAAACCACCTGCCAGCTATTTATAGGAGGATTTGTTGTGTGTTAAATGGGGTGTTAATGGACCTGAACGTTGGACATCAATGACCAGTCCGTTGGGCATTGAATCGTCCATAAACTGTCCATTTAACGCTGCATTAAAAGACAAAAACGTTGGGCATTTAATGGCTGTAACGACTCTGAGCAGTTCTGGTGCGTGACCAGAATACCCCCATCAGAGCAGCAACTCTGATGCTACCAGAATACCTCCACCAGGGGTGGAGCACTTCTGGTACGAAGCCAGCAGAATACCTCCACCACAAGTGGAGCACTTCGGACGGCATTCGTGTGCGCAGGTCGCTCGCGCACACGAGTCGCGGTTTTTCTTCTCCGTTTCGGGATTTGATCGACACCCCCCCCCCCCTGCATGTAAGAGAGAGCCTTTACCTTTAGGAATCTTAACACCTTAAAAGAGGCTTCCCTTTATAAGGGGGTGAAAATCCCGTGAGTTTTCCGGTGTGGTATAAAACACACTAGAAACCCATCATTTTCTCAGTTTTTCCATTTCAACGAGTGAACTTCGAGAATCAATTTCTCATTCACCCGTTATCCGTTTTGAGTGTACCACATATCGAATTGTAGCCCTTAACAAGGACAGTCCGAAACCACTTTGAGCCGACCCAAATCGGAAGTGGACCCCACTCAAATAATTGCCCCAAAATGACCATTTAATGCAATTTTTAACACATTTTTCCAACAATCCCCCACATGAATGAAAATTGATTTTCGAGACTTAAAAAGACACGAAGATAGGAGGACACGTTGTGTTCACCGGATGATCCTTGCATACGGAGAGGTAGGTTTTATCCTTTGAACCTTCCGCTGTAAAGACACGTTTATTTACAGGCTGTCTAGTAGACTCGATGTCCTTGAACTATACTGATGTCGTGTAAACATTGACTTATCTTTACACAAGAACCTTCCAACTTTGTTCCGTTCTCATGGGTGTGCCCGTTTTGGCCATGGGTCACCGTCCTGGTTCTGCAAGAGTTTCTAAGGAACTGAGCCTTTATAGTTCTCCTTTGAAGCGGCCCTCTTCTCTCTCACTTAGGTGATTCTTTCACGAGTATCCCACATACTCTTCCAATGTTATCGAGTAGATCAACATTTTAGAATCATTAAAGCAAACATTTTTGCTAACCTCGTGCGGGAGTCACTGTTTTAAACGAGGATTGAGTAGGAGTCCGGGACCCCCACAGTGACCATCCTTCGCTCTATAATTTAGTTGTCCCTTTTGAACCTAGGACCAGCTAGGTTGGGTATCCACTATAGAACTTTTCAATTCACGGGCTTTAGTCCCATTCCTCGTGACAACTTCTCCAACAATTCTCTATCCAATGCCTTGGTTAGCGGATCCGCTATGTTATCCTTTGACTTCATGTAGTCAACAGTGATAACACCCGTTGTGAGGAGATGTTTAATGGTGTTATGTCTACGACGAACGTGTCTAGACTTATCATTGTACATATTGCTCTGTACCCTTCCAATTGCCGCTTGAAAATCATAATGTATGCATATTGGAGGGACAGGCTTTTCCCAACTTGGAATATCCTCGAGAAAATGGCGTAGCCATTCAGCCTCTTCAGTGCACTTATCCAAGGCTATTAGCTCAGACTCCATCGTGGATCTAGCTATTAACGTTTGTTTTGAGGATTTCCATGACACGGCTGCACCTCCCAAAGTGAAAGCATATCCACTTGTGGACTTGGAGTCCTTTATGTCGGATATCCAACTAGCGTCGCTATACCCTTCAAGTACAGCTGGATATTTTCCATAGTGCAGTCCAGGGTTTTGGGTTTTACGTAAATACCTCAAAACCCTTACTATTGCCTTCCAGTGTTCATCACCGGGGTTGCTAGTATATCTACTTAGCTTACTAACCACGAAGGCAATATCAGGCCTGGTACAACTCATTAGATACATCAAGCTTCCTATAATCCTAGCGTATTCTACTTGAGAAATACACTCTCCATGATTTTTGGTAAGTTGTACGTTTTTATCTAATGGAGTCCTTGCCTCTTGATAATCATCCTTATTAAATTTCGTAAGGATTTTATCAACGTAATGGGATTGGCTTAGCGTAAGACCGTCTGGTCCCCTAATTATTTTAATCCCAAGGATTAAATCGGCCAGCCCCATATCCTTCATGTCAAATTTAGAATTTAACATGTTTTTGGTAGAATTAATCATTAGATTATTGCTACCCACGATAAGTATATCATCCACGTATAAACATAAAATGACATAGCCGTCTACCGTGCTCTTCACATAGACGCATTTATCTGTTTCGTTTATTCTAAACCCATTAATTAACATTGCATGGTTGAACTTTTCGTGCCACTGTTTAGGGGC